TAACTTTGTTGGTTGTTCTTTTCAGGCTCGGGAACCCCGATCGTGCTGACTGGTCCCTCTCTTAGGGTCTCATGCGCCAAACTTCACCACACAACCTCTTCATGGGCCCTCCTAAAACATATCTTTCTTATGCAATTTATGCAAAAATAAATACTTAATGTATTAGAATATGAGAAATGTGTCTGTCCTCGCTAGTGAGCAAGACAAGTTAAGGCAAATTGTACCACTTCATGCCTATTTAATTAAAAAATTATAAAGCGAATAGCCAGTGTTGGTGAGTTTGTGACAAAATTGGTGTGATCTTACAGTACTAGCCGCATAATAAATTTGATGATTTACAGGGTCAAAATAACAACACACAGAAAGGACTGAAAACACACTCCTGTCTTTTGGCCTAGTAATCTCTCTCCCTGGAAATTCCCAAGGAAATAATTCAACAAAAGTGGGGGGAGAAAAGCAACAAGCATAGATATATTTACCTAAAATAGGCAAATATTGAAATAACAAGAGAAATGGTTTGGTTCATTGTGGTATGACTGTAATCATTAAAATGAAAATATAAAAGCTACTTACAAATATGAGGAGATGTTTATGATATAATTGTAAGTGGAAGTGTACAATATGGTACAAGTAGGTAAAATATGTAAATATGTGGATAAGGACCAGAAATGTGAAAAAGTGAAAATATCTCTGGGGTTGTGGTGGTGAATTATGGGTGAATTATATTTCAAGATGTTCTTTAATGTTTCTATATCATCTTTTAAAAAAAGCAACACAAAGGAAGAAAAGTAATCATCAGGTAGAATTTTGTCAAGATTCTGCTTCTACGAGGTTAGGACAGGGAGTTATCCTTGCTAAGATGTTGATGGGTGTCAATAAATTAAGGTGTAATACATCTGTGTGCAGACAGGCTATAGTAGATTCTAGCAGATAAAAGCCTCAGAATTTGAGTCGGGCCAACAGCCACTGAACTGAATTCCTGCTTCTGCCACTTACTTGCTGTGTGGCCTTGGGCAAGCTAGTGTGCTTGGCATACCTACACCTTTCCTGACCTGTAAAATGGGAGGCCAGCAGACCTTTATCACAACCACCGTCATTATTATTAGCAGCACAAACACTGAACCTTTATTGAATAATCTTTCAATGTGAGGTCTTCTGGAGAAAATGCCTTAAAGGTCTAATGTCAGAAGTGGATGCTGCTCAAATGACACTATCCCTATATAGAGAGCTAACTACAAACCTTGAAAGGTCCTTTTTTAAATAGACTTTACTTTTTAGAGCAGTTTTAGGTTGAAAGCAAAATTGAGTGGAAGATACAGAGAATTCCCCATATACCCTTTTCTCCTATTTACTCGTATGTGCAGCCTCCTCCACTATCAAAATCTTGCACCAGAGTGGTACATTTGTTACAACTGATGAACTTACAACACATTGACACATCTTAATGTTCACTCTTAATGTTGCACATGCTATGGGTTTTGACAAAAGTCTGACATGTATCCATCGTTATAGTTTCTTACAAGTAGTTTCCCTGCCCTAAGGATCCTCTGCACTCCACCTATTCATCCCTTTGTCCCCTTGACCCCTGGCAATGGCCGATCCTTTCACTATCTCCAGTTCTGCCTTTTCCAGAATGCCCTCTAGTTAGAATCATACAGTATGTAGCCTTTTCAGATTGGCATCTTTCTTGAAAGGTATTTTTTACATCCAGTCTGGAAGACCAAGTGAGTGTTTTGAAATTCCACTAGATAATACAAAGATAATTATTTCCAGTGATTGTGTTAGAGTCTTTATACATGTTATCTCCACAAGATAAGTGTTATTATCCTAATTCTACCAAAAAGAAAGTGCATAAGGTCACAAAACCAGTAAGTGGCAGAGCCGATATCTGAACCCAATTTGTCTGACTCAAATGTGCATATCTTTCCATGAGGCCACAGTGTTTACCCTAATACCAAACATGGGTCCTGGAGCATGTGAACCCTGTCACAGGAGCTGCAATGGAAAAGCCCACTGGTAAAGATGCACATCCAACCACATGTCACTGCAGCTCTTAGAAGACAGCATCCTGATAGAACAATACAACAGCCACCCTGCTTTGTGGCAGACTCTGTGGCCAGGACTTACCACCCTATCCTTGAACAGGACAGCTTAGTCAGCATACTTAGTCAGCATACTGCTAGCAATATTAGGTGGGTCTAGTTCAGTGCTTCTTAACCTTTTTTGCATTATCACCCAACCAAGGAGCCTGTTTAGACATTTTCTTTCTAATCGCTCCTGACCCTGATTAAATTTTATTACCCTATATTTATTATATGCTTATTTACTGTGGCCCTTTGGAGAGTCAAAAACTATTGTAATACCTAAGGTTTGTTTTGGTTTGGGTTGGGTTGTTTGTTGTTGGTTTTTTTTGCCCTCGAAGAAACTATTTTCATCCCCTTAGGAGCTGTATCATCCTCACTAGAATGCATAGTCTAGTTGCAGATAGTGAGAGTTCAGAGAGGCTGAATAGGTGTTGAGATGTCAGCAAAGTGAGATCAGGACCTTGGAGAACGCCAAAGTAGCCCTACTGAGACCATGTCAAAGGCTCAATGTTGCCTGAAGATTTGCCTGAAAAAAGGAAGAGGCCTGGAGAGGATGAGGGCTAGGAAACTAGTATTAGTACCTAACTAAATGTTGTAGGAACCATCAGAATGTGAAGGCTTCCAAACTCCCTTTCATACGAAAATTCTTGAGGGGCTGGCACTTTGTGGACAGGGACTTCAATTCTCAAAGTCAAAGGCACTTAAATGACACATCTTCAAGTAGTTGAATGGTTTCAAGGTCTTTACTAACAGCCCAACTCCACAGGAATTGGAGGTTTTCAGAGGTTTAAAAGTATCAGGTTAATACTCCCTTACCTTCCATCACTGATAGTGTTCATGACACTGGCTGTTGTGAGTTTAAAATAATAATAGGTATTATTTATCATGTGCTAGGGACTGCAATAAGTATATTGGTGGGACATTTTATTTAACCTTCATAAAAATTTTGTCAGGTGGCTATGATGGTTTTCCAAGGCTAGGAGAGGTTAGCAAACTTGCCCCAGATCTCACAACTGATAATTGGAAGTACCAGGCCTTGAACCCACTAGGACTTTACAGAGTCACATGGAAGTAAATGGCTCAAGAGAAGAAAGAAAGTTCTAAAAAGTAGGTGAGCCCATGAAAGGCCCAAGAATCCATCATCTCTGTATCCTTCACAGAGGACGAGACTCCACAGATGGAAGAAAATAGAGCTGCCCAACAGTAGAATTGGTTCCCCATGAAACTGTGAAATCCCCATGGATACTCTGCAGGATGAAGCTGGTTGGTCACCTGACAAAGCACCACAGGAGGAATCTTAGAGATTTCTGCATCCTTGAACTAGATGACCTCCAAAGCTCCTGGCCACTCAAGAATTCTGTAATTATTAGACTGACTCTATGACTCAGACTTTGGGAAGCAACAGACCATATAGCATTGAGCAGTGCATTGAGATCTCAAAAAGTGGAGAACATGGATGAATGGGACTTCCAGGCTTCTAGAATCCATGCTTCCACCCCTTCCAGCCCTAAACAGAGGAGTCAGAAACGGTTCACAATAATTCAGGGGAGCTAGAAACCTCCCAATCTTGCTCCAAAGGCTAATCTGGAAATATAGACATTCGATCATTTATAGAGCAAGGATCTGCCTGTGGGTTTCAGCTGCTGTCATGGGCTGGAAAAGGAAAGGAACACTCCTTACTAGCAGATGGTGAAGACAAAAAAGTCAATACATCAACAAATGAATTTCTGACAGTCGTTTACTGAAAGGAAACAAATGGGCCCCACAATATGCACACTGGGTTGACCGTTGTTCCCCACATGCACTCCTTTCAGTCCACGCTGATGGCCCATGGTAAACACTCAGAATTGCCCCCTCTGTCCTGATAGAGTGAGTCCCAACAGAGTACAGCCAGAAGCAAGTGCTTTCTGCTCAGTCTTCCTAGAGGGTTCACGCAAATGTGGCTGACTCACAAAGATGATGAAATTTTGCATCAGCATTGATGTTATCAGGCCTTTAGACTCCACTTCCAAAAGAGGCATGCATTCTACAAAGAATAGAGCCTTCTGTGGTGTATACAGCCACTTAATAATAGAGGCACTTTAGTTGTATGGTCAAAGATGCAGCTTTAATCAACACGCACAACTCTATAAAACTAACCAAACTTCACTTGTGCCTTATCCATAGGCCTTATAGCATCTGTTGAGTCCAACTTTATTATTAGCTACAGTTCTTTGACTCTCTCCTTTCATGGGTCACTATCCTATCTTGCTTCTCTCAGCTTAGAGGCCAAACCTTCCCAGTTCATGTCTAAAACCAGAGCTTCAGATTAGCTGCCCTTGATGCCTATGGCATGGTGATCTCTCACATGGGAAAACCTTAACTGCAATTACCACCTCTACACCATTTGCATCTTCAACCCTTTTATCAGGGATCTGAGCTCTAAGACATGCTGAATCTTTTTCTTCCTGCCTCTAAAGAAACATGGATCAGACATAGTATAATCATTGTGTAAAACCCACTAAGCTATTTTTTTTCCAAGTAGAAAGAAGTGGTCTTCCACTCTGTACAGAAGGGTAAAAACTTCCACCTACCGACAGAAACCAGTGGCTGCTGAGTAGGTGTCAGGAACTTGAACTTAAAAACTGGGTTCCTCTAGTAACTCTTGACAAAGCAACGTTTATTAACAGCTTTCTAACAACCTGTGTTCTTCTCTCAAACTCACTGACAAGTTGCTTTTAAACAAAATACCTTAAGCTGAAAAGGTAATAAATACAATTTTATTATTGAGATCGAGATTCCAGGACACAGCTTGCTCACACAGATGGATGCTGTCCCCACAGATGTTGCCCGCAGAAGTCTGTGCACAGATGTTGTACACATAGATGCTTCTTACACAGACAGATGTTACTGTACACAGAGACAGATGTTACTCACAGAGACAGATGTCCACCAGGAACACGATATACACCAAAAGCTCCCGCAGGGTGGTCTTGATATAAAGTTCCCGGTTCTCAGCGGTGTTCTCAGTCAGGGTTGTTCCCCAAAGTCCTAAGGGGCAGTGAACAGATGCCCAGGATCCCCGAAAGCAGGGCTCCTCTCAGTCATCCCCACCCATCAGCCCCTGGACTTTACTCCCATTCCCACCCCAGCCCCTTTCCTCACCTATCACCTTATCCCTTGGCTGAATCTGGCTACTTGAACCATGGCTGCCCTTTTCCATCAAAGTCCCTGAGGTAGACAGGGGTGAAGGTGCTGGGTCATAGCGAATGCAGGCATGGAAGGGAGGCACTTTTTCCCGGTGGAGCAAGCTAGAGCATCATCACACCCATGTCCTCCCTCAAACTAGCTCTCACATACCCTCCTGGGTCTCCAAGTGATGACAGTGCCAGGCTCCACCTCTGGGAGACCACTGGACTGGCCTTTTTGTTCTGGGGCATGCACAGACAATTCACAGACAATTCACAAACCCCAAAGAGACACTGAGGTTTTCCCGCTTCTTCAGATCTCATTCCGCACTCTAAAAGCTTTGGCAACCCCTTCTCCTGACTCCAGTAACCCAGGAGAACCCTGCCCACACCAGCTACCTCTGATGCCTCGACTGATCTGGAGGCAACAGCTGGACACCAGGATCCGGTGAGCCTTCTCCTGCGGTCCATCTTCAGGCTTCTTGGGTTCGGGCTTGGGGGGCACCGCACTGGAGATGGTGCAGATCTTCAGTGTCCCATGGGGAGTAGGAGGACCACTGTAGGCAGGGTTGTCCCAGGCTCCGCCTCCCAGGTTTTGCAGCTCCTGCCCCTCAGAACTTTCTATAGCATTCATGGGGAATGAGGTAGGGGACCCAGCACTTCAGGTACCCACTTTCACCTGGAGAAAGAGGGAGCAAAGGCCCAGCCCAGACTAGCCAGCAGAGGGCAAAGGGAGTCTGAGAGCAGCTGGTCTCACACAGCCTCTGCCTCCTGCCTTTTGTAGGGGAAACCTGTGCCTGCTAGGGGGTGGAGGAGGGAGGAGGGAGATAGGAAACGACTGTCAATCCTGTCAGGCTTTCTCTCTCCCCCTCTTGCTGGAGGTCCTTAGGGACAAGAAGAAAGGGGTGGGAGGGAACTGGGGGGAGCAGATGTTTGATGCGGGGAGAGAAGGGAATATGAGGAAGAAGTGGAGACTGAGGGTGGAAGAAAGGAGGGGAGAAAGAGGCGAATGCTGGGAGGGAGAAGAGGGCTGCTTGCAGATGGGGCCTGATGGAGGGATGGTCCTGAGTTGAGCTGGACAGAAGAGGCGATGAAAGAGAAATGGGAGGAACGGGGAGAAGAGGGAGGCTGGCAGACTCCATTGTGGGTCTGAGCTCATTTTCACTAAAAGCTCCTGAAAGGGCCGCCATGGATCGGGGTGGGGCCAAGGCCAGAGTTGGCAACTGAAAAGTACTGCCTCCCTCAGGCTTAGCCAATAATGTCTGAGGCTCCTTTTATGTCTCACCTTGAGCTGTCCCCTGGTGGGTTGGAGAAGGGGGGCTCCCCTCCCTCAGTCCAACTCATACTAGGGGAAAAAGGATAGTGGCAGGAGGACCTCCTGTTTCAGATACTTAAGGGACAGGGTCTCTGACTGCTGATAAGGAAGGAAGAAAGTCTGCAGAATTCTATATTATATTCTTTCCTCTGAGGTCTGCCCTCTCACAGCTTAACGGTGAGCTATACCAATAGAAAGGTGCTCCTTAAGGGTGTGGGGCTCAGCCTAGGGAAAAGGCTTAGCCCTGTTGGGCAGATGGATCAGAGAGCAACGGGCAAGGACAGTGTGTCTGGGACGCCATAGGGGAAGTGGATATACCTGGACCCAGTTCAGCTGACAACCTTATTTTATGGCTCTGCTTCGTAGTGGGCATAGAATAAAAATATGAGAGATATCAGGGCTAATCTGCTTTCTTTCCAATCTTAGGTCTCTGAATTAAAACCCTGACAATGAGCCCTCAAGCACATCCCTGACTACACCCAGCTCCAGCCTTGGGTCACCTGCCCTGGCTTACCTACAGGCATGTACTGTGGCCCAGAATGGGGCTGGCCCCACAAGTTACATCTTCCTTGATGGCTGGAGTGGGGGCTGCCGTTTCTCCAACTCCTGGCTTCCCCTCTGAGCTACTCTATTGCCAAACTGGCCTGAAGCCCGGCTTCACACTCAGTACAACATCAGCCTGGTGGAAGTCACTGGTCTTGAATGTCCCCATAAAGAGATCTTGACCCCAGACAACCCAGGGCTGGGATCAGCTCCTTGATAAATAAGTGTACTCCAACATCTGAGACAGGGCTGAAAAAGCAGCGGCAGTCCTACCACAGAGTCTGCTGTACGGAGCTCCTGCCCCAGCCCAGATGTTATTAAAAGAACGAACTCTAAGCTAAGGGGCCTCTCTGTGAGCCTTTTTAGATGGAGGAGTTTCATCTCTCCATTTTATTGGCTGGTTAGACACATTCCAAAGTACTTGCTTTCTTTGGGAACATAAAAAAAATAAGGAACTGTGCCAGTCTTGACCATTTTGTGTAAAATCAGCTGTTTTTGTGCCTCTTACCCACAAGCTTTCAAACAATTGCAAAAGGACCCCTGGCTTGCAAAACTGAACATTGGGGCAGGGGTGATGAACAGGAAGCTGGCAGTATTGTCCAGAGAAGCAGGGAGAGGAACAGGAGATGGTTTCTGATTCCCTTGGGGTAATTTTATATTCTGAGGGAGGCCTGAGGTCAGCGGGGTTTTGGATGTACTCGAGGCGGTTCATCATATGACAGGTCCCACACTCCTGAGAGCTGATGGCCAGAGCTGGGCTGCTTTATGTACGGTCATCTACCTGGGCAACACTGCTTTTCCCTGCCCAGTCTCAAGCACTCTCCCTGTGTGCGGATCACCCCATAATGACCCTGGGAGCACAGGTTATGCAACATAACTTGAGAAATTGTCTTCAAGCCTAGGATGCTTAGTCTTATTCAAGAAGTTGCAAATGTTGCAATTAAATGGGATCGCCCGGTGATTTTGTGTCCAACAGTTCCTCATGCCCCTTAAGCTTCTCATGGCACTTGACTTTTCTTGAGTGACCATGCCCTATTAAAGAGGACAACCATTTTCAGGGGAGTCCCGCGGCTCAGGCTGCCTCTTATCATCAGTTCACAAAACCCAAGAGGCTTGAACTTGAAACCAAAACTACTGGATTTAACTCTTGGCTCAGCAATTTACTAACCATATGGCTCTGACCAAGTCCCTTTTGAGACTTCGTTTACCTATCTGCAGGGTGTTGATGATACGGCCTGCCCTGCTGACCTTAAGGACTGTTTCAGGATTAAAACAGTAGACTAGAGAAGTCTTTATAAATGGTGCATTATAAAGCACACAATAAACTTCGCTATCTTACCATAGCATTCATCCTTGAGCATTCCCTTAATGCACAGCAGTTCATGTCTAAGGTAAATACCTTCAGCCAGGACTCCTGTTATTTCCCAGAGGCACAAGGGTCTCATAACTCTCTGTGTCCACTCCCATTCCATTTCAGCTGATGCCAATGGAATGGAATGATGGCATTTCAGCTGGAGAGTATTATAAAAGTCCTGGAATGAAAGCACATAACCACATAACAAGACTCGATGCCCATCAAAGCCAAAAGTCCTCTTAATCATGATGCCTCTTAGCCTACTTGGTGAATTGGTCCTATTGCTTCACTAGGATAAATTTTTGCGTCACATGCTATCCTAGTACAGACATCGAGACGAGGGTTACCTCATTTCCTCCACCAGGGCACTCCCTTTTCATACCATGCCCATCCCAGCCAGATTCTTTGGTCTTATTCAGATCTACTAGGTCTGACAAAGAGCCCAGAGACATCAAAATCTGTGGGATGAAAACCTGTGGCCCATCTCCCTATAAGGTCTCCATATACATAAGTTCCCCTGGGAGAAGGCACCTCCCATATTCTAGAGGAAGGAATCCTGGAGTGACTTACAGTCCTGATTCTAGAGGGAGAAGCAAGCTGCAAGCCACCTTCTGTGTTCCACATAGTGACTCTCAACCTTTTCTACCCCCAATAAGCATAAATAATAGGACATACTCCATAAGTAACAGTGGCTCACTATGGCAATGATTCTCAGTGGAAGACATTGGAAAACTTATCTATAAGAAAGAACCCTGCATAGAAGAGCTTACCCGTTGCCAATATACCACCATAGTCATCTAAAATTTGAGTAGCCCAAGTTTTCAGCAACAAAGAATGGTGGACCAAGCAAGCACACCGGAGTAGGCTAAGCCCAAGGGAGTCCTCCCCTACCTGTCTGTATGTAACAAACACCACAGCACTACTCCAGGGGCCTCCACAAGCCCCAGCTTCTTAATACATCAGAATAGACAAGCCAGATCCATTGGAGGGTTTGGGTGTATGAAGTCCTACTGCAGCTGTCCCAGCTCAGGATGCCAAGAAAATGGCATTTTGTTCTATCTCATCACAGACCTCACAGAGAAGCTGTAGGTGACCCAACCATTTCATCCAAATGACTCACTTTAGCCTTTTACTTCATTCCTACCTCCTCCCAGTTTCACAAGTCCTGCTGGAATATATGTTGCATCTACCATCTCCCCAAAGAAAACCTTTCTGAATGAGACCCTCAGCTTTCCTCCCGTTTCTGGAGGACCCTCCTGAACATCTATGCCCATTTGTCTGTGCCTTCTACAGAAAATTGGACAAGCGGAGGGAACCAATCAAACCCACGTGGTGGGAGACAGATGACGCCATCAACAAAAATGAGGAAGTTAGTCTTCAGCTGTCTGGAAAGTTGGGTCTGCGGCCATGATCATGCCCCCGTGCTGAGTGTCGTCCAGACATTTCGTGCTCATGTGGTCCTGAAGTAATCCGTCAGCACTATCACTTCTAGGCAGAGCTCCAGCTGCAGCAAGTGGGGTTCTGTAGCTGATGCTAAGCGCTAGTCAGGCCACTTGCCGAGGGGGTGCAGTGCGGAAGGAAAAGAGCTCCACGTGAGTTTGAAACACCAAGCTAGAAACGAAGGGGAGGGGAGGAGAAAGAAAAGTACCAGAGAAAAAGGGGATATATGGCAGAGAGGCTTGAGGAAGAGGACCTGAGACAAAGTAATTCTTCTTTCCCTTAGAGCAGCGGTTCTCAACCTTTCACAGGGGTCGCCTAAGACCATCGGAAAACACATATTTTCGATGGTCTTAGGAACCGGGACACCGCTCCTCTATCCGTCTCCAGGCCCACATGCAGATATGCCCACATCTGAGTACCGGGCGACCCCTGGGAAAGGGTCGTTCGACCCCCAAAGGGGTCGCGACCCACAGGTTGAGAACCGCTGCCTTAGAGAAACTCACCAAATTTCACATGAGGCATGATTGACTGAATGTCCCCAGCCTGTGATGACAGGAGCTTGGAGCACCAGGGCAGATCCCCCGGTGTTCACTCTTCCAGCATCATGTCAGGGTCTCAGGGCAATCACCCAAGACACCTCCTTGCCTCAGCCCCTGAAGACCCCACTACAGGAGATACATAGTTTTCCATCCTGAGTCCTCATTCCCATCATCATTCATTCCACAGATATTTACTGCATGCAAACTCTATGGTAGGAACTATGCTTAACTCTAGGGATGAAGCAGCCAATAAAACCACCAGAAACCTACATTCTGGTGAAACTTACATTCTGGTGAAGAAGACAGGCACTAAACAAATACACAAATAATTTATAATCATAAAAAATTCTGCAAGGGAGAAGTCCAGGATGCTCTAAGGATACATGGCAGGAGGCCTGCATTTCTGGGGCTAATGAGAAATGAAATACTGATTTCTACCTCTCCTCCCCTTTCTTGTCTTGGCACAAACAGGTTTTTTTTGAGATTCAAAAATGCTTTATGCTAAATATGCACAAGGAAACAGACCAAGTTAAAAGACCAAACAAGGAAAAGTTACGACATTGCAAGGAATGTTAAGACTTACAGTAATCTTTGTCCCTCATGGTCACTGGAAAGTGAGTTCAGCTAAACCTGAATTCTTGCATTAGATTTTTCTGAAGACATGGAATCCAACCACATGTTCACTCCTGAAATGGGTTATCTCCTCAACCCCTGGAAAAGAGACAGAAATTAATAAGAGAGCTAGAGTAGCAGGTAAAACTAAAAATTGATTTTAAATGTCCTAAGGTTTTATAGATGTATGCTTATTTTCAAACTCATTAAGTTGTGCACATTAAATATGTACAGCTTTTTACATGTCCATCGTACCTCAATAAAGGTCAATCATACTTCAGAAACGTTTTAAAATTTTTTCTGAACAGAAATTCAGAACCTAGAGCTTTACTTCTTTTCTTTTATTCTCTTGGCCCTGTAATCCCAAATCTAGAAATCTATCCTGATGTCTATCAGCATAATTGATAACAGATTTTACAAAGCTGAAAAAGAAGAAGCTCAAATATACAACAATAGAGAAAAAGATTCAATAAGTTAGGATACATTCACATGATGGGTTATTGTGCAGAAATTAACAATTTTAAATAACATTTAATGTCATTAGAAAATACTCACCACATGTTATGTGACAAATTCTGGCATATACATCTACAGAATCCAAATTTTATGTGTATATTATACTTAGATGCATAGAAAAAAAAGACCAATGTTAAAGAATATCAAATTTAGTAGTGGTACCTCTAGATGGTGTGATTACAGATACTTTTTATTTGTTAGTTTATTTTCTGTGATTATGAGCACTTTGTATTCAGAAAAATGGTTAGTTTTAAAAAGGCAGTGGTCAGTAGTTATATTCATAAAAACTTGAGGTTCATTTTCATCTCAGACTCAAAGTACCTCTTGGCTGGTTAGTGTTGCCTTCACCACACTAACTCTCCATGTCAGCAAGAAATCATTAGGTTTCATTTCTGGACATGGGAGTCATTCATGCAATAGATTTACTTATCACCTACTTGCTCCACAAATCTGTATTAATTGCTACTTCCTTGGAGATTAGGGGAAGAATATGGGTGAAATCTGTGACAAGTATGAAAATAGCTACAATGAGAAATAATGAGAAGTATAGCATCTAACAGTAGGTTAGAGGAAGGAAGTTCATTGGGTTTGAAAGTGAGACGGTCAAAAAAGAAATCTTGAAGGGAATGGCATTGAGATGGACTTTGAAGGATGGATAGTATTTTAAGAGACAGAAAAAGTATAACTACCAGTTATTAACCTCCCCCATGCCAGACAATTTGCAGCTCAGTGCAGTATCTCAGTTAATTCTCACACCACCCTATGGGGTAGGTTTTTATTATCTCCATTTACAGGTGAAGAAACTGAGGATCAGAGAGGTAACTTATGGTGGAATAGGCTTTCAAATCAGGTCTGTCTGATGATGGTGATAATGACTTCCTGTGTGACATCCATGTGCAAAGGTAGGCAGGTAGGAACATTGCATGCTCTTTTGGAAGAACAATTCCACTTTGGCTAGAGAATAGGAAGTGGAAAGAGGGTTAGGAGCAAATATGGAAGGCCTCTAATACCAGATATTTAATTCATTAGGCAATGGAAAGACAAAGAAAGCTTCTGAACAGAGGAATAAAATCAAAGCAATATTTTATGAAAAATAGTTTGACAATAGGGTGGGTTTGGTTTGGGAGGGAATTGGAAGCAAGAAAATCAGTTCGTAGGTTGTTATGTTAGTTTAGGTACAGATAAAGAAGGCCTGAATTATGGGTAGTGAAATAAGAGTAGAAAGGAATATACAAGTAGAAAAATATACGAGAAGTCTCATAGACAGAACCTGCTAGGATGAGCACCTGATTGGATGTACAGTGTGAGGGAGAGAGACACCAAAGATAGATCTAAGGTATCAAACCTGGATAACTGGAAAGATGGTGATGCTATTAAAAGAGGGTGGGGGAGAAGGATCAAAAGGAGCATGTTTCAGCAGGAAGTAGGTTTGAGTCTAAAGTGTTAATAGGACACTCAGATGATGGAATCTGAGAGGCCATTGGGCAATTTGAACTAGAGCTTGAGAGAGTAATAAATACTGGAGAGAGGGAGGTGGGATCATGTAGCTTAGATAGAAGTGTTTATTGGAGTCACAGGAACAGTTGAGGTTGCCAAAGGATTGAAAGAGAAAAGAGTTGGAAGAAGGAAGAGGAGCCAGAAAGAGAAAGAGCTATAACAGGAGGAGAAGCAACCATCCTGATTTTCATGTTCTAAAAGACTCAGTTCATTCTAACTCCTCTTAGTGCTAATTTTTAAAAACAGCTTTATTGAGATATAATTCACATACCACATAATTCATCCATTGAAAGTGTACAATTCAGTGACTTTTAGTATATTCACAGATATGTCCAACGATGGTGCTTATTTTAAAGGAGGAACGTTTGGGTGTAAAGTTTGGAATCAATTCCTATACTACATGCTGTAAATGAGGGAGAGAGAGGGCCCCAAACACCAGAACAAATTCTCCACTCCCACTGCCTTGAGCAGAATCACAGAAGAGTGGGAGGCCACAAAGGTGCTTTGCCTATAGTGGCCACCAGGTGGCAGCAGGATCCTTGACTTGTCTGTAAAAAGAACAGAAAAACCAGTTTGGAGGGCTGTGCCTTCAGAGAGTCCCCAACCAAAAGACCGGTTCTCTCCCTAGCTTCTTCCTGTTACTTATTCTTTTCTTCTGGGTAACTGTAAAGGTTCATGTCTGGCCCTTCTAATAGGGCCTAAGCCTCTGGAGGCCTAGTAACCCACTGTGTTAATCCGTCTCTTCTGAGATGCAGACGCCAAGGCTGGATAAGGGTGCAAGGTTTTAGTGGGCAAAACACCTGTGAGAGAAAATGGAGAGGCAGCCAAGGAAGGCAGAGAGAGCTGTCAGACCACGATGTAAGTCTGACCCAGAGTGAAGGAGAGAGGGTAGGAAGGTTGAGTGGATTTCTGCAGTGTAGTTAGTCTAAGAAAGGTTTGCCAAGACCTTCAGGGAACCAACATAAACCATCAGGGGATTTCTGTGTCTCCCAGCAAGATGCCTACCTTAGTATCCCTGCTAAGCTAAATCATTGGCTGGGCTGCTCCTAGGAAGTGGACGTTCTCAGGTTGCTCACCTGGAAGCATGGCCCAGGTGAGTGCTCTTGGTCAATTATTCCACAGGTAGTTGAAGGTCTGTGAGGCCCATTCTTGCGGTCTCCACACCTGAGAAGGAGTAGCCTCAGCCCACAGGAGTCTCTACTAAGTGCCATCTGTGTCCCCCACCTCTGAGGAGAGCAATTCAATGCCCACCTCTCACCTCATGCCTGCTTTCACTCTCCTTTCCCTCCCTCCTGTCCCAGTGACTAAAGAGGCAGGCTCCTCCCAGCCCCTGCACCTGCTCTCCTGTGTGAATCCAGGAACACACATCTTCCCAAGCGAGTCCTCTCTTTCCCATAACTCTGTCTTTGGCTCCTTCTTGCTTATAAGCCCTGAAATGTGAAAGAGGTAAACGAATTAGCTGGGTGTTTCTTTCAGCCCTGACCCACAGGCCCAGATGCCAGCCTGCCCTGGCAGGAAATTGGCCAGCACCAGGTCCCACCCCCTTCCTGGAATCCCACCATTTCAGATGACCCTCTCTTGGCACCAAGTTCTGACCTCAGCCAATGTCCAGTATATAATAGAGCAACCATAGATTTGTTCAGATGGGCCACAGATGGGCCAGAGGGCCAGGTAGCTCTTGGGGGTCAGGAAGAAGCTGACATTCATCTCGGGGAAGCAGAGGTTCGGTAAGGGAGGTGTTTGTGGAGAAGACTGATGGGTGCCTGGCATGACAGGGACTGACTGGGTCAAGGGCCCCTGTGGACCTCCCTGATGTTCTTGGGCCTGATGGCCCTGCAATGTCTCCTCTTTCCCCCTGGCTGGTTCTCAGATGAAAGACTGGCTTGGGAGGGATGGGATGAATATAGTTGGCCTGACATGGGGAAACCAATGGTTCTGCAAGAGCATGTCTGAGCCAGATGACATTGCAAACCCAGGGCCTCCTGGGAAAATAGAAGGAAATAAATCTGGGCTTTAAAAGCTAATCCCTGGCGTGGGAGCAGCAGATTAATAGACCGGAAATCCACCATGATGACATTACTTTACACTTTAGATGTCATTATTTTACATCTTGGGTGAAGCCCAGGGCAAGTTAGGGATTTTCCCCTTTCTCTCTTGGGTAGGGGGAGATGGAAAAGAGAGGTGGAGGTAGGGAGCAGAGTAGAAGAAAGATGCCTCCGGGTGATCCAGGAGGCTTCCAGGCTGCAAATTGCCCAGGGGCCAGGACCCTAGGTTCCAGGGTTTATGGAGGCTGGATAGGACTGTGGGGGCCGTTGGCAGATGTGGGAGGACAGAGCGGAGCAGGAACCAGCAGTCTCCTTCCCATCCCCCGCTTAGCATGTTTGTTTCCATGCTTGGAAAGAAGTACTTGCTACACAAAATCTATGAAGTCCCTACCACATACCTAGCAGATGTACCTGATATATGCCCACCACATCATCCCTCACCCCAATAGCCCCAGGCTGGTACGACTTTTCTGAGCCTTGCAAAAGAGGCATAAAAATGTGGGTAAATCATCAAAGCACATAAGTACACACAAGTAGACACTTTTAAAAAGTGCTAAACGAATGTATTTCAAGCCCATTCTCTTCCTCTAACCAATTCTAGGGGCTCCTCTACAAGGAAGGGCCCCTCTCCCTTCCCGGAACCAGTACCCCACTTAATATGGTAGGTTTAAACTCTGCCATCATCAGATACGATCCTGCCCAGTTAGCTATTGTGCTTTGTCCTGTTTCTCTTAGAAATCTGTGCGCTCCCCAGGGGCGGGCCCAGAACTCTGGCTCCATTCTCCCTCCCACAGAGCAGCGAGGGAATTGACTTTCCCCTGGGCACAGGGAGGGCCCAGTCAACACTCAATCCCCAGGTGGATGCTTTGGCTCAGAAGGACAGAATGGGAGAGCAACAGACTCTTGGCCCGGGAAAGGCTGGAGGGGGGTGGGAGGGGTGGGGACACAGAAGGAAGCTTGGCTCAGGGCACAGCCAGCTGCCCTCTGGACCTTGCAACTCTGCTGAGCCTGGCTCAG